TAGCAAAAGAACAAGGTCTTCGAGCAAGATCAGCTTTTAAACTTTTACAAATTAACAGTGAATTTAATATTTTAAATGATAATGTTAAACGAGTTGTTGATCTTTGTGCTGCACCTGGTATGATATTTTTTGTTTTTATTTTGTACCAATTGAAAAGTTTATGTTATTAACATTGAATTTCTTTATACAATGGGATAATTATAATCATCAGTACTCAGAATATATATGACTTTTCGAAGAAAAAAAAAAGCCAAAGTTAAAGAGATTTCAACTTGAATAAAGTTTTTTTCAAGAATTTTCGTATTTTTTTAGTTTTGAGAAAACTACTCTTTTATTTACGTCAGTATTACATAAACATTCTTATGTAATTTAAGTACGATAGATGGTGCTGGATCACATAATCTGTTACGTAGTTTTAAAAAATATTATTTGAGCATATTACGAATATACTATTCTAATGTTTACCATATTTCAATAAAGAAAACCATGTCTAAACTTATTTACTTTTTTTTCTCAAAATATAGTTCTTAATCATAAAAATCGAAAGTCATCTGAAAGAGTTCAAGATATAACCAATCTTTTTTTTTTAATGTTTTAAACGTCTCAATGAGAGTAAATTTCGATTCGAGTACGATTTTTATGGTTAATTTTTGTGCTAAGAAAAATTAATTTCAAAATTATATTCAGATAAAAAAACAAGGATTCTTCTGAGATTCATATATAAACTATAAGTGAGTTGGAAATTCGCTCTAGTTTGACGAATTGGATTAAAATTAGTACCAAAAGCATTTCTCATTAATGTTTATCAGATTCGATAGGAATACCTATATTGTATTTGTAGTTCGTTTCTTTGACATTCATTTCAATCTTTTATATTTAATCGTCTAGTTCCAAATAACGATGATGAAATTCGAAAAATTTTTGTACTAATGTCTGTGCCAGTTTTAAAGTGAGATAGTTGTAACCTTAATAAATGGACAACAGTAGTGGTTTTCAATAGTTCAAAGAGGAGAATTTTGGACGTCTTTTTATGTCATATTATTTAAGTTAAAATTATTTTCACTTCGGTATGTACTTCACATCTATGATAATAATCTTTCAAATAATATAATCCTATGTAGTATCACACAAAAAGACGTCTAGAATTTTCTTTCAACTATTGAAAATCACCAATCGCCAACTAATTGCCATTGACAAGACATTAAAACTACATTCTTCCTTGTTTAAATCCAGCGCGGACGTTTGTTTGACCGTCAATATCGAATATATACAGGGGAGAATTCTCTATTGGATATGTCATTTGTTTTTTTTTTGTTGAATAGGAAGTTGGTCACAAGTTCTTTCTCGAACATTGTATAAAACTGATGTAGTTGATGATCAAGTTAAAATAGTTGCTGTTGATTTACAAACAATGGCACCATTACCTGGTGTTGAACAAATAAAAGGTGATATAACAAAACGTTCAACAATTGAAGAAATTCTTAATTGTTTTAAAACATCTGATAATGAAATAAATAAAAAAGCTGATCTTATTCTATGTGATGGTGCACCTGATGTAACAGGTTTACATGATATTGATGAATTTGTACAAGGTAATCTTGTTTTAGCAGCATTAAATATATGTCTTCATGTTTTATGTAATAATGGTAATTTTATATCAAAAATATTTCGTACAAAAAATATTGATTTACTTTATCAACAATTAAAATTATTTTTTAATGATGTTGTTATTGCTAAACCACGTTCATCAAGAAATTCATCTGTTGAATCATTTATTGTTTGTCGACAATTTCATTTACCAAATAATTTTATTCCTAATATAGATGAACCATTTATTTATACATATGAACGTACATTAAATACAAATGAAAAATTATCATTTATTATTCCATTTATTGCATGTGGAAGTTTAGATGGTTTTGATTCAGATAAAACATATCCATTAGAACAAGATCAATCATATATTGAACCTGTACAACCACCAATTCATCCATCTTATGAAGAAGCTTGTATTTTGAAAAAAAATAAAAAATTACCAATATCTTCATCATAATTAGTTTTTTTTTTTTTTTTCGTTGTGTTTTAAGAAATTTTGTTAGTATCTCTTTTTTGTTTTTATTTTCAGATAAAATGAATGCACGATCACAAACATTTGAATTTGCTGTTGAAGGTCGACAAATAGATGAAGTTGTTTCTTGTATGTTTCATACAATTTTATTTCATCGTTGTGTTGGAAAAGTTTGTTAACATAGATTTTATTTATTTATATATATAAATTATATGATTATTTATTTTGTTAGTATCATACCAATGGTGAAGATAGTTATTCAGTTGGAACTTTAGGTTATACTGATGTTGATTGTGATTATATTGATTTTACTTATGTAAGTATTAGTTTAATAGTTAAAAGATTTATTTAATCAAAAATTCTTTGTAATAAAATTAAATATCGAGAAATATTTTATCGATCTAAGAAAACTATGTATTAGTCGAATTTCGTGATTTACAAAATGTAATTTTTTTTTTCTATGAAAAATAACTAAAATCTTTCAATAAATGAACCAATTGTATGTCTATTAAAATTCAAAGTTAACAGTTCGAACTAATTACATTTATTACAGTAGTTTTCATCATGAAATTTTTGTAACAGTTAAATTCTTGTCAAAATAGCTGTTAGAACATTTCCGATGGGATTAATATGTAAAACACATTGTAACTGCTGTTATTGATCATAGGAAGATTGCTTTATTCTATTTATTTTAGGATATATGTCTTCACTAATATTTTACTTAATCTCCTAAAAATATAATAGGGAAGTAGTTCACATATCATCATAAGACATTATTAATATATCATCTTTGAAGAGGAAGAAGGTACAAATTTCTATTCTGTATTATACATTTTCAGATTGTGTTTCAGAAAATAAATGTTTTTGATCATTTTAAAACAACGAGTTATAGTCAGAAGTAGTTACTTAGTATTTGAATTTC